TGTGTGTGTGTGTGTGTGTGTGTGTGTGTGTGGGGTTTTATTTTCTGATATTAAATCCACATCTCCACCCGACAGCTTGTCATTCAAAGCGCCGCAGCACAGCTTATTTTAACACACAAAACAGTTCGAGTGTGTCCGTTTAATCTTGTGTCCTTTCTGCATTTTAATAGAAACGCAAACAAAATCTCCAATGGCGGCAGCAGCAGGAGGAGGAGAGGGAGGGGGAACATAAATGACTAAGAGTGTGTGACCCCAAAGGTTCAGGGGTCAATCCTTTCAACACCTTCCCGAGCATCAGCGTGCTCCTTTCCTCCCCCCTTTCTCCTTCATCTCGAGTGCTTCATTCCTCCTCTCTCATCCATCCTCCCCTCTCTTGTCTCGCTGCATTTTCACCCTCGTCTTCCTGTTTTTGCCCTTTTAACCTCCCCGTGACCTCCCTCTGCTCCCTACTCTCTGCAACAGCTTATCGCCAATCAGCTGATTGAGGCCTCAGCAACATACAGCAGGGCTGGTTCAAGTGCTGCTGAGGCTCTAATGACTGAGATTTGTGGAAAATTCTTATTTCCTTCCACTTTTCACTCCTCCTGCTTAGCCTCCACATCTCAATGCTCCCTTCTTCCCTTCCTGTGACCCCCGCTCTTCTCATAACCTTCCTCTCTGATTGCCTCTTCCACATCATTAAGGGTTCAGTTCAGCTTTAAGGGGTCAGTAAGATGAGAAAGATCACCATATGGTAGTTCTCCTCCCTCCCCACGGATCAATAACACCTCACCTATTACTTGATTCAACCAATCAGATGCTGACCACTCCCTCTAGAAGCAGTATATTTTATTTTGGTTTGGGGAATTTATTGAGCTATTTATGCCACAGATCCACTTCATTGTACTATTCTACCATTATTTATTTTGTTGTATTTTTTGAAACTTTATTTACCTATACTTCCTACATGTGCTGTATTTTCTCCATCTTCCAATATATACGTCATCCTTCTGCCTCTCTAACTCCGTCTCCAAATCCATCAAGTTGTCCTTCAGTTGTACTCATGTCTTGTTCATTCTGTTCACTCGGAGTGAAGATCTTGGCATCTTGACCTCTCATCTGTGCCACAGTCTCCAAATCATACATCACAGCAGGAACGATGATACCATCCTGTAAAAAATAGCAGCAAATCACCCCTTACACTCTTCTCTACCCATTCCACCCTGCCAGCACTCTCTTCTTCATCTCTCTTGTGGACTGTTCCTTGATTTGCATGGCTGACCCCAGCTATTTAATCTTAATCTCTTAATCCACCCCACCCCCCCACCACCACCACCACCACTTGGAAAGCTCAGCTCGGTGCCATACATGAGTGGTTCTTACACCTAGCTCATTCTTCACAGGGTCACTGATATCTTTCATTTTTACTTTATACACAGTTATTCATATTTTTTCCACATGTGGTTACATCATTACAGAAACTGTAGATCTGTAGTACAGCACTTCATGCAAATACACTTTTCCTAACCTTGTCATATACACACCAGGGCCAAAACACACAAATCTGTCCTACACGGTGGCTCGGGCAGCCACTGATGGGTGATGTGATTTAACGTGACGATCGAAAAAAAAAATTGCTAATTAGGTTTATGCAGCCCTGCAACAAAAAATAATGACAGATTTATGGACCTATCCAGCTCAAAATACACGAACCAGTCTGTATACATATACATTTTAAAAATGTATGTAGAGTAAAAAAACCTGCAGCAGTCCACTTGGCTTCGCTATTGTGCTACATTATATATTTTATAAATTTTTTCATGGCCTTTCCTTCTTTCCTTCTGCTGCAGGTTTTTCCTTAAAAGGGCCCTTAAAAAACCAAGTTTTTAGAACTGTAATCTTTTCTTTAAGGGGACATGCAGTGTTTTAAGTTAAATGAGGGAAACCGTTCAGCTTCACACAAACATTTAAAGCCAGAAAATAAAGTGTTTGTGTGTTTATACTTTCTTCACCCACGTCTTCACCTGTCTAAACCTTCTGTAACCTCTCTTTGTTTCTCCTCCACCATCGTGCCCTGCTTAACCTTTCTTTAACCTCAGCCTTGCTTTTCTACTCCCTCCCTCACTCACTCTTTTGCCCGTTCACTTTCTCCTTCCTGTCAGAGTTCATGCACTTCCTGTCCCCCTGTCATACCCCGACCCTCTGGCTGTGCTGGCCTGATAACGTCCCCTACAAAGTCCTACAAACTCACAAATGCAAACAAACGCACACTCACACAGAACCCTAATGCACAGCTAACCCATTCGTAGCACCTCCACCCATGTCACTTTCACTCTAAGTGAGACGAGACACGCGAGTTCTCTCTGCAGTCTGGTTGGAGCGAAGCCAGGCTCGAGCTGGAGGCCCCGTCGTACCGAAGTCGTTTACCCCCTCTGTGCCAGGTCACCCTCAGAGCTGGGCACAAGCAGATTCTGACATTTAAGCAAAAGAAGCGGGCCTCCTCATTATCGCTGGCTGTTGTAGGCGATGAAGAGGATGCTGCTGCAAACCACTGAGCAGGGCTGAACGATGTCAACAATCACATCTCATGAATATGAGAAATAAATGAGCCAAACATGATATTTGGAGGCTCTATCGTGTTTTGGAGCTATGCTTCAGACAGTGGTGTAAAATATAAAGAAATGACAGTAGGTTTAATACTTTGCACAATATGATGAGCTGGACACAGGGTAGGAAAAAAAGGAGAAAATTCAGCCCCGATCTCGTGAGGCCAAGCACTGCTGGTCTGCCTCTGGTGACAGAGTCAAAGCTGACTGTCACATGGCACTGACACTCTGGAGTCAAAGGCAGCTGTTAATAATCCTTCTCGAGCTTCATCTGCAGAACCTGTGTAGGTTTGACCTCCTTTATGTGGACGCTGTGGACCAAAAGCTTCCTTTTAGTCATCTCAGCTCGAGCTGAACTAAACAGCTAGTAGATTTAAGCTTTTAGGGAACAATGTGAGCCCAGCGCTCCAAAGGAAAGGAGTGAACTTTGTAACCAAAGCAGAGCAGCAAAGCATCTTGTTTTCATAAAGCTAATACCATAAATCACCCAGCCCTGATGTAGGCAGAACAAAGTCAGTACAAAGGATGCAACAAACAACATTGTTACTTCAGTCAATCACATGCACAGGAAATACAGGCAGATACACCTTTACGAGCTGATCAGAAAGGAGTTGCGGCTTCACTTAAGCTGGAAAACTGAAGCGCTCATGGATGGAGGAAAGAAACAGCTCTGCATCTTTGATTTGAGAAAAAAGAAAAGAAGAGCACAGAAGAAATAAAACAGAAAATGAGAAAATGAACTCACCAGCACAGTGTAGATATGCAGACAGCGGTAAACTGGAGAGAAATCCACCAAGTCCTGAGCTCCTGGGACCTGCAGGGGGAAACAATTTGCACAGTTCACATGTTCAGTTCATAAACTGCAATCAACCAGCCCGTCTTCAGTTTTCTTTTACAAGTTTTGGCAACACCTGTTTTGGTTAAAGCCAAGCAAAGTAAAACCAAACCTGAGATTCTAACCAGAGAGAGACAAAGATGGCAACGAGGGGCAAGACAGAGACAAATGATTGTGTTTGTGAAACAGACGAGGGAAATGTGAACGGCAAGAATAAAACAGGCCGCGTCCCTAATAATGAACAGCCTCCAACCTCAATAAACTTAAATGGCAGAGCAAAAACATGAAGTGGTTACCAGGCTGCAAACACGTTTACTTCTGCTATAAAGCTGTTAACTCTAACAAAGGAGTCAGTGGAGATGATTTTCGGGAGCTGGCCTCAAGTGGCCACTAGAGGAACTGCAGGTTTTGGCATGTCTCAACTTTCCAGCCCTGGAGGCTGCAACTTTGCTTTAACAGACACAGTATCTAATGCTTTTCCTCACTGTAAGATTAGACAAATTTAGAATATAAGTTTTAGGGGTTTTTATTAATTTAATTTCATTATATTTTCTAAGACATTTTACCTGCACAAAGGGTAAAACAAACAGTACAGTTACTCATTGAAATAACTTAATGTGGAGGAACATTACGGAAAGATTCAAGGTGGTATCAGTTGTGCTTAAACAAGGATATTTATATTTAAAACAAACAAAACAAAACAAAACAGGCACTTCCTGTGAAACAGACTGAATAATTCACAGCCATAAGTTTAAAACTGATCTCAGAGCTTACTGCTCCATTTGCTTGAAGTTCTCTAAACTCTGGACTTTGTTCAGCTGCGCTTCCCCCTGCTGCCACCCATGACTCGTTAAGCCCTGCAGTTTTTATTCATCTTTATTAAACTACAGTCCCCTACATATTCATCACAACTAGCTAGCTCTGGTTCATCTTATATCAGCCTTCATAACAAAAGATTAATAATGAATAAGCCCATTTTAGGAAAAAGCCATGAAATATGAATTGAGACAGTTTCAATTTACCAAAGTCGGATGATTTTTAAAGCAACCCGTTTGGCGTTTCTAGTTTAGTGGCACTGGATACTGAGGTTTTAACTATCATGGAGTGGCTGTGACTGAGGAGATGGTGCAGGTCATAGGCAGGTTGGTGGTTCGATCCTTGGCTGCTACAGTCTGCATGCCAAAGCATCCTTGGGCAAGATACTGAACCCAGAGTTTCTTCCAATGCATTCATCAGAGTGTGAAGGAGCCATTTTGTTCTACTTTCAGGCAGAAAAGTGCCAAATAAGAACCGGTCCATTTACTACTCACTGACAATCACTGAATTATTGTATTTGTGTTGGTTAGGATGCTTTTAACATCATGCAGGTTAGGTTTAATTAACAGAACTGAGACGAAGTATGGGTATAAATACTGGCAGAAACAGATCAACACTCAATTCAAACTTCTCATATGTCACTGCCATCTGAAGTGAACTGAAGCTTACAGGGAGTCTTCTGTTACGAGTTACTCATACCTCTTTTTCTTAGCATCTATCCCTCGATCTAACCATCATTCCAGTCCCTCCTCCCTGCCCACATCCTCTGTCCCCTGCCCTTTTGCCCTCTGGAAAGTTTGCCTTCTGTAAAACTCACTAGAGGCAAAGCACAATGCCAGCTTTGATGTAACCGCACACAAACAAGGGTCCCAAAACAATAAGAACAAGAACAAAAAACAAAACCAAAGAGTTGTACCACTTAAAGACAGAGGAAGAGCTGAGAATTAGAGGGGGGAATATAAACACAGGCAGGTAAAACTTAAAGACAACCGAAAATGACTCAAAAGGCAGAGGTGGAAAGAAAAAGGATGAACGGAACCAGAGGAAGCAGATGAAAAACATAAAGGTGAGAAACAAACATGAGGGATGGTTGTAAATGAAGGGAAGTAGAAGAAGTGATGGAGAGGCAGGGTTGGCGTGAGGAGACGTGACGCTGATGGTTGGCATCGCTGCAGCCAGCGGCGCCAACGCGGTCGTAACCCTGACGGCCACGGGGTCAGGTCTTTGTTCGAGCCAAGGTCTTCCTGTGAAGAAGGTTGAGTCAAGTTTACAGGACATAAATAAAGCCAAGGGGACGACAGGGACCTTAAAACAGAATGGCAGCACAGGGGTGACAAGTTCAGCTCTATTCTCTCCTTAACCTCATTGTACTTTATTTTCCCCGAGCAAGAACAACAAAAGGCTCCAAAAAGGAACTCTGATCCCGCGAGGGATGACTTGAAGAGTTCAGTGTCAAAATGCTTTGTGCCCGCTTTGCTGCCCTGACACGATTTCCACAAGTTCATAGTATTTGAACATTTTTCTCCAAACTTAACTGTGTGCCGGCAGTTCTTTTGTTGTACGATATGTGGACAGCATGAGGAAGTCAGCAGGTGTGTTCCCACCATTCCTATAAGGGCATCTTCACACCTTCACAGCTCATTTACTCCGATCTGAATCAGTTGATGGGTTTGTGAACTTGTAGCCTTTCACTGGCTTTCTTTTCTTTTCACACACAGAAAAATCAAAGTGAACGAACGAACGAAAATGCGTCACTGAAAACAACGTGGGAATGCTCAGTCAGCTTACTGTCCAGATGTGCCTGGACCTGACTAATAAAAGTGAATACATTCAGATGGTGCTGTGTTCTGGACGTTTGGAGAACATGAATTTCACAGCTAGCCTGTACAGACCTTTTTTCTTTCTTTTTCCCCCCACAGACTCAGTGTGGTTGTTTCAGAGTAAGATTCAAATTGGCACAAGTAAACTGCACCAAGGGGGAAAACGAACCAGAGTTTAGTTTAAACCAGGAGTGGGGAACTCCAGGGCCTGCCACGCAGGTTTTAGATCTCACCCTGGGTCAACACACCTGAATCACATGATTGGTTCATTACCAGCCTCTGGAGAACTTCAAGACATGTTGAGGAGGTCATTTAGCCATTTAAATCAGCTGTGTTGGATCAAGGACACATTTAAAACCTTCAGGACACCGGCCTGGAGTTCCCCACAGACTAAGAAAAACCCCACACACCTTTACATGTCCCAGCCGACAGAAAAAAATGGAATGCTGAGACATTTTTTCCTCCTTCCTTCTTTGTTGTGTTCATATTTTTTTCCAGCGGCAAACATATTTGTTGCTGACGTTTTTCCACGTCGTTGTACATTTTAGTAGTTTCAGAAATCGCCCACCAAGAATTTGCTGTGAGTCCTTACATTGATGCTATGGTTCCTTATGGTAGGTGGTAGATGGTAGTTGTTGTTCTATCAAAGATTATTTCAAAAAACTGTGTTAAAAACATAGATGGAAAAGCACAGCTGTAATCAATGGTACTGAACAGGCTACTCAAAATAGTGGCGGGCCGCATCGACCTGATGTGCAGTTACATTTCTAGGGCGATGCATGTCAGATCATGGTGTGGCTACAACATAGATTTCCCCCTGAAGCACAAATCTCCAGTCAGTGAGTCCCACCCAATTTTGTTTTGTTCTTTTTGTATAGTAATAAAAAAAAAAAAGGAATCCCAGATATTAGACTGGTGGACTAAAACTCTAAACTATCATGTCTCATATATATATCTCATGATTTTAAAGCTCAAAGTTAGTCACAGATAGAAGGGGGGGAAAAGCAAAATAAAGTAAAATAAACTTTTACTTGGCGTGAACTGCGTGTGTGTGGCTGCAGTTTTAAACAGAAGTTTAACAAGTTCTTTACCCCTGAAAATTTATTATGGCTGTCATTTCTGCAGGAAAAAATATAGAAGTAAAAGAGTCGTATTTCAATCCAACCCTATCTAATTTGGAGCACGGAACAATTTCACAGTCTGACAGTAATATACTGCACGGCTTCACTAAATGCACTTAAATGCACTTAAGCTGTTATACACGACAATCAGGTGATTCTGAGGCAGCCAGATGGGAACTTTTTCAGATTTGCCTAATTTCATAAGGAGGGCCCTCACTGTGAATTAACATGTCATTTGTTCCGTGCTCGGGTGGGAGGATAAGCTGGAGACATGATCTAGCCTGTTATGGAGCTGCGATGTTATGAAACTGTGTACGTGTGGCAGAAACATAAAAAAGCTTTTCAGACCTTATTTTAGGGCAAAGTCATCTAACTTTTAAAGGTTTGGGTTTTTTGTTTGTTTTTGTTTTTTAAATCAGATCTGACTGCTGCTTCTATTCAAAAATGCAGTTATATTTCGCTTCCTCTTCACATAAATAGGTTGCCTGTTCTTGTTAACCTGAAATAAGTGCCTGGAGATGTTGCCAAGATGGCTGCCAAGTGGCGAGACACGCGCCTATGAGGAGACTGTTTCGAGTGTCTGAAGCTGGACACACACTTAATGACTGTCGGGCCAATTACAGATGCAATCTGGGCGCACTGACTGACCGGTCGGACCGGGTCTGCTCCAGCTGGGCTCGGTCACAGCTTACATTCAGATGATAAAGTCATGATGAGTGTGTGTGTGTGTGTGTGTGTGTGTGTGTGTGTGTGTGTGTGTGTGTGTGTGTGTGTGTGTGTGTGTATAGACTATTCTTAATTCTTAAAGGAGTCACTGCCAGCTGTCAGCGTTTATTTAGAGCAGGTTTAATATTGGCGACACAGTCACAGATGTTCACTGACAGCGTTGATGTGTTCCTTCCTCGGCCGCCTGTCCAGAGCTTTTGTTTACAGGCGCTTCAGCAGTTAGCAGGAGTTTATTAGAAGCTTTATTCTAATTCCCTCAACAGATTTAAGAAGCCTTCAGCTGATGTACTCCTTTTCACTTTGTTTTTCTAAACAGGCTTTTTTTTAATCTTCTTTTTAAATATCATGTAACAACTAAATTGTTACCGAGGCTCTGGCCTTTTCAAAAGGTGCAGCGGTGTCACCTGTTGTCTAAACAGACACAAACACCCACACACACAAAAAACACACACAAAAGAAAAAAAAAGAAAAAACCACGCACACACACACACATACACACACATACACACACAGACACACACACACACACACACACACACACACACACACGCACGCACGCACGCACACACACACAAAACAGCTCTTTGGTGGCACTAGTCCTGTATCAGGGTATGCTGTAACAGCACTGGCTCCACCTTTAATGAGCTTCAGGAACTGTATGAAGCGAAGACCTTTGCATGATCACCCTCCATCATTTGGACCCTCTTCGTCTTTTACGCTCCAGAATTCCAGATGCTTCCATCAAGGAGAAGATTTGGTTTTCCTAGATGTAGGACTAACAGATTCAGATATTCATTTGTTCTATCCACTGTTGCTCTTTAAACAGTGGATAGAACAAAACCATGACAGCACTTCCGCCGTGTTTTACAGATCAGATCGCTGTAGATTCTCACTGTTGCAACTTTGATCTCATTCAAATATACTAACAGAGATTTGAACCTAAAACTTCAAATTTGAATTCATCAATAAGACATATTGTCCTTGATTTTCAGTCCAGTTCTTATGCAATTTGGCAAACCTCAGTCTTTTTTCCCTGTTCCACTTCCTTAACAATTCTTCTCGACAGCCATCCTTCCGCTGAGACCATTCCTGATGAGGTTTCAGGGACCAGCAGACGGATCAACGAAGGGCCAGATGGATCCCTCAGGTCCTGTGTCGGGTCTTTGCTGGATTTTTTCCTGTTTCTTAAGGACATGACTTCCAGATACTGTTCATCTGCTGAAGACATTTCTGAGTACAAATATTTCTTTGCTCCTTTGTTTGTCCAGTTTCCTTACATTGTTTTAGGACACACTGCATGCCATGTTGACATATGCCAAGTTTTTAGCTAATTGCTCTTTGGGAATCACCTTGGTGTGCCTGTCAGACTGTTATCTTTGGTATTTTTGTAGATTCAACTAAAAAAAAATGGAATCAACTGATTTGTTTTTACAACAGGCTTCTAGGAACAAAGTGCCGAAATTTAAAATTGAATTTTCCTAAGTTGTCATTTGTGGTTCAACAAACAAAAAGCACATTCCTCTGAAAGTTGTCAGGTACAAAGACTGGACTGAAAACGACTGAAAAAAGTTAGAGGCCAAAGAACTGCAGAATTATTTCTCAAGACTTTAAAAACTTCCAAGCATCTCTGGATCCTTGGAAACAATATAAGAAGAAATGAGGCATGGCCGAAGACCTTTGCACAACACTGTCTGTGTGTATTTATTATGTTGGACTTCTACAAAACAAGCTGCCATGAGGACATTAAAGTTTCACTGTGCTGAGGTGTAGAAAGTCTTTAAGCTTACGAAAATTACTTTTGTACACACAGCGCAACACAGATTCTAAATATCAGAACACTCCAGAAAACAATCACTCTCAGGCCAAACAAGACTTCAGTGTCGACATTAACCTTAAGATCACAACAACCACGCAGCGGCTCTCCTCAGCCTTGTAAATATGCCCACAAGTTACACGTAATTGCAAAACCTGAGAGAAGCACCACACTGATCATCTTATTGGAAATCAAAGAATTTGAACTATTTTACCTCTCAGTGATCCCTCTGTGTTTGTTTGCCTTTAGGATCTAAAGAAGCATTTGGATTCGGAAATCTCTAAAGGCATTAGACTTAACAAGCGGACCACGAAACATCCAGCTGCATTTTCACAGTAAATGTTGGCTCTTATTATTTATTTGTTGGTTTGCCCACTGGCAGAGAGCCCAGTCATTACTTTATGATCTTTCAGCAAGTTTTTTTTTATAAATTGTTTTTACCCTCAGCTGTTTGATTTGCGCTCCTTTCCCTTTCAAAGACTAGAATCTGCTCCAGCCCATGGGAACAGTCTTTTGAATATGTTGAATACTTTGGTACAATGTTTCGAGCAGTAGTTGTATTTGAGCGTGCGCCCAGTATAAGCTGGTTTACGTGGGCTACGTGCTGCAGTGGGATGAATGTTCGCTCTCCGGAAACATCAGAAATGTCACCTGGGCCGGACCTAATGACTTCAGACTACTGGGACTGAAGAAATATTCGCAGTCAATGTGGAAGGAAAAGGAAATGAATGGAAAGAAAAAGAAGACGACAAAAAATAAAAAAAAAAAAGAGAGAGAAAGAGTCACGTAGAAAAAGCGGCATAAGCCTTGGGCAAGAAGAGGACACATGGAAGAGATGAAAGGACAGAAAGACTAAAAACTGACTAACAACAAAGAAAACGCAGCAGGAAGCAAGTAAAACTGAGCCACACTGAAGGATAATCAGACTTCAAACGAAATTGGTCCAGCCTGCCAATCTTAGGGGAAACCCACGGTCAGGATTGGCAACAATTATCTGACTGTTTAAGGGGTTATAAAAATGAATGTCAGCTCGCTTGGAAACAAGTCTGAGCTGCCCTGGCGACATGGGGGCGAGATCAGAGACGATTCTGCCAAGGACCAATCTGACATGAATGGGATGCACTGGATGTACAAACGTATCAGTATAGAGATGTTTGTTTCATCAAATAAGGTGAAGCCAGATAATTGGAGGCTGCGTGTTGTCTGGATTTTGTGTGTGTGCTTGCAGTTTTCTCACTTCATCTTCCTCCTCTTCATCCTCCACATCCAGAATTCCCGTGTCTTGTTCTGACAGCGGGTTGACACCCATTCCAGCCCGAATCGCCGCCGGCGCCGCCTTTCTGCCGCGCCGGCCGAGTAGGACCCTCGGCTGAGGCGAGACGGAGCTGTCCAGTGAGCGCTGTAGCTGGGCCTGGAGAACAAAACAGAAAAGCAGATGAGAACTTCACCGAGGGTCAACGGATTATTTTAAACCTGCATTGTTTGGTTCATTTCAGTTACTTCCTACATTTCCCAGAATCTCTTTTAAGTCCGACAGACGAGAATTTGCATTTAGGTGCTGGCGCAACTTCAGAGCAAAACAATGGAAGCTCTTTGATTTTCACGCTCTGACACCAAAACCAGATGTTGTCTGATAACACTCACACTCTGTCTGCAATAAGACTCCTCACGTGCAACAACTTTTAACAGGGGACGGAGCAGAAAACAAACCCAGGAAAAATTCAAAAAACACAAACTGCTTTCAGACACTAACGGGGAAATGGTATTAATCCAACTCAGCATGTGAGCAATAAATGCTCGGGTTATTGCTCACAGTACCCCCCTCGTTTTAGGAACATTTCGGGAAAAATGTCAGAACTTGTGGACGGTGTTGTGAGGTCACCGGTTTAGACCTTTTGAGCCACTCCTCGTCCCATTGGAAATGGCCAATAAAAGTGATTTACCAAAGCAGCCTAAGAATACACAGGAGGGAAAAGAGCAGGCCAGGAAGGGAAGGACAGGAAGGATGAGGAGTCGATGAAAACAAAGCACGTAAAATTAGTGCTCGAGACATAAAAGTGCAGACAGGGACAGATTACATGTCTGACCTGTGCTTTTGCTCGACAACGCCTTCGATTCAGCTGTTCCTTAAACTCAAGCTTACCAAAAAAAAATAAAAAAATTTGGAGGACAAAAACTGTCCGAAAAATAAAACAGGAAGGGCTCATTCTCTGAGCGGTATTTACTTCTAATGAAATAGTATTTCATTTTGCATGAATTCATTTTATTTTCTTTGTTCTCTTTAAATACATGCACAAAACACCAAAAAAAACCAACCTCCTTGTTACAGGTAATAAGGGATACAAAACTGATATAGAAAATACCCAGTGGTCGGCAGATCTCTCGGCAAAAATGCTTTGTTGATACAGGAAGAGAATGGCCAGATTGTTTTGCGCAATGAGTTCACTCTATTCAACATGGCTCTGCAGTCACCAGATCTCACTTCAACAGCGAACCTTTGCAATGTGGTGGAACAGGAGATTCACATTAAGGATGTGCAGCATGACGCTATCACGTCTGTATGGACCAAAATCTCCGTGGAACCTTTCCAGCATCTCCTTGAACCTCTGCCACGAAGAATTAAGGCAGCTCTGAACGCACAACTCAAAAACTATACCTAATAAAATGTCCTGTGAGGGTCACATCACTTCTTTTGTCAGTGCAACACAAACACACACGTGTGCAGCATATACAGCTGCATTTGGTTAATGTCCAACTCATCCTGTCATTTCAGTTTCTCAAAAACGTGGTCATTTAAAAGAAGGTGGGGTAAAGCAGAGCAGGAAATGGAAAGGTCTACCTGGAAAGATTCCCCTACCAAACAATGCCATGTGTAATGTAATTTCTGATGCTAATTGTGTCCTGAGTCTACATCGCTGTTCGGGGATTACTGTGGGAAGTGATACATTCATCTCCCTGTGCGGCAGTGCTCGATGATGAGCTCTAAAAATAAAAATACTAAAAAACAGGAAGTTTTAGTTAGAAATTAATGGAAGCTGGTCTCCATAACAGAGTGAAAACAGAGCCGCGGTCACTCCAGAGGTGGCCATGTCTTTGTCAGGACCTCGCTGGTAGGAGATCATCATCTTGCACTTCTACATACAAATAAAACTGATCTGAAGTCTTTAGTCATTTATCTCTACCTGATGTGCATTTTGAACTCTTTAACATGACCACCATTCGCCTTTCTTCGAAATCCTCCTCCAGTCGGGCCTCGGGCGCAGCGCAGCATGGTCGCCAACATTTTTCTGTGGGAAAACCCTCAGAAATGAGGTCAGCATGCCTTTCCATCCACACCCAAATCCGCATCGGGCTACTTTTGAAAAACCTATGCAAACGCCTTCCTTGATCACTGGTGCCAACACGTAGGCTGCTTTGTGCGCTTAAATGTGTCGAATGGAACGTCAATAAAGACGTCATACACATCAAAATGCTTCGTTTTGGGCTGTTAATGCGAGGTTAATGAGAAAAACTGTTCCGGACACCAGGGCAGATAGGCACAAACCCAGAAGAGCACAATATCAGAGATGCTTGTGTATGAACACAATGCCATCTTTGATCTAATGTTCAAACACAAACAAACACGCACACACACACCCACAGAAGACAAGTGAGTCATGGAGGACAATAAGAACAAACTAAATCAGGAAAGTGTCGTTGGGCTGCAGGAGGAGCTTAGGCCTAACGCTGAGGAATGTGCCGAGCTCTGAGTGTTTTCTCTAATTACTTTACATCGAATTAAATCAAAATGCTGAAAGAACAACAGGATGAGAAACTCAAGATGGCGAGAACCGCAGAGTGAAGAGTCCTGTCGCGTCTGCGAGTCATTTCTTTGTAATTGTTCAAATACTCAGAAATGTACAACTTAACATAGCTCGACCACAAAAGACAGCAACCTGTGAATGGCGGAGAAAAGAGAAGAGGTTTTCAGCGACGTCAGCACCTGCGTCAAAGTAAGTCGGCGCGGCGGTCGAGTTGGGCTCCGGAATTCTTCAGCAGGTGCATCCATGCCCGCTAACATTACTGTATACACACTCACCCGACCATTCACTCTTAACCGGGAAGCCTTTTTAGCCCCGTCTTTTGTTGTGTTTTTTTCTTTGGGGACAGAATTCGGTACAGCGCTTGAAGCAGAAGTGTGGGAATGTGCGTCATCTGCGGCGCAAAAAAGCCATGAGAAACTGGGACGCAGTTACAGGAGGGAAACATGGGAGGCATGGGGAGTGGAGCAGACGGAAAACGAACAGTAGGAGTTGGGAAGAAAAGGAAAGAGAAATGGGAAAGGTGGTGAGGAGGAAGACAGGTTTGGAATACATGATGGAGTGAGAAAAAAATAAAACGTGTACAAAAGGAAGGCAGCACAGCATTTGGAATCAGCCACACTATAATGGTTTAAAGTAAAATCACTTTAAATACTTTTTAAATGATCGGAAATTACTCTGTGGAAGCGAAAGGAGGGCAGTCTGAGTCTTATGTGGCTGAGGTGAGTCGATGTCTCTGAGTGCATTTGCAACACAAGTGGGCAAACTGAGAAACACTTTAAGTGAAAGAGCAAAGATGCTGTGATGCGTTTGGTGACAAGTGGTTTCAACGGGTTGTTTGTTGTGGGGGTGGGCCGAGGGACATGTGTGTAAAATCTACATTGATTTCTCCCACAAAAAATGTAACCAAAGTGACGGAGCATGTTTGGAAAACATGGTCGTATCTACAAAAAAAAAAATCACTGAAAATGCAAAAGTAATGCTGTTAACAATAAATGTAAAATTGTTTCCAAGATTGCTCGTTATCCTTTGAAGAATGTGTTTGTGGGATCCAAGAAATCTTTAAAAAGCTCCGAATGAAGCGCTCTCAAAGGGAGCATTTAAAGAGCAGCTAATGGAGACGCTTTTAACCGACCAATTGTTTGATTGCCTGAACGATCCCCTAGTTATGCAGCTAATAAGGTTTGTAAAATGTGACAGTGTAGAGTCAAGTGAACAAGGCCCCAGTTACTAGAGACCAGTCTGCAACAATCTGGCAACCACTAAAAATATTCACTCCCCAACCGCCTGGAGAGTGGTAGCTGGAGGTTGATTGGAAACAGATTGCTCAGTGACCCCAGTGCTAGGGGAGAATCTGCATCCCCCAATCGGATGACAAAAACCTCCTTGTGACTGTTTTTCCATGGGCAAGTGTGGCAGCTTGCTTGGTTTGCGTGGAACAAGGCATCTTATCTGCAAACACTCATAAGCTACTCGCCGAGCTGTGGTAACACTTGAAAAGCATGTGGCAAACTGGAAACTGAAACCATTTGCCTTCAAAGTAAAGGCTGTCTCCTTTGAAACCGTCACCGAGAGCTGTGCTCACAGGGGACATGATTTCAATATTGAACTAAATTGTTTTAAAGGCTACTGAAATTATGAAAAAACGAATACAAATCTATTCAAAAGGACCTCCAAACCTCACTAAAACCACATTAAACTTGTTTATTTTTATTTGGTTTTGGTGAAGAAAAGCTGGCAGGCTTGCCGCACAGGAGAAAGTCTGAAAATCCAACCTCAAACTTCACAAAATGTACCCATCGAATTAAGTCTAGAGAGAATGAGTATCAACAGGTTAGAGTTAAAAGGAAAAATTGAGCAAAGATGAGCAGGAAAAGTTGACGCTACGATAACGTTTTACTAATCCTTTTTTTTAGTATTCATTTGGCATTTTGTTCAGTATTGGAAAAACAATCCTGATAATACTTGAAATAACATACAAGAATCAAATTGGTACTCTGTACAGAAAAATACTCCGTAACAAATGACTCTGATAAGGATCGAAGCTAAAACCTGACTGGGGCATCCCTACTATAGATCACTTTTTGGCAGACAGTCGGCCAGCCAGAAATAATGGTGTCTGATGGCAGTGAACTGTGGTGCATTATTCGGCAGACACCACACACACACACAGGGTCCAGACTGGGTGACACAGCAGCCCATAACAGTTTATTTTTGTTCCCCTTGTGATGGTTCAATACACCGACCCAGCGTGCGCCCTCAGCCACCCTCGTTGCACGCACACGCATGTGTGTGTTCAGTAACTAGATACAGGTAATCAATCTTCTTCCACTTCACAGTCCCGGCAATCTGTTTCCCATTAGTGTGTACGAGTGTGTGTGCGCCTACTGAATACACAGCAGAAGCTCCAGACTCGTCCTCTGTTGAAAGCGAACACAAGAAACAGAAAAACAAGAGGAACAAGAGAATGAAGAAGGGAGGCAGGGAGATGGAAAGATGAGGAGGTGGAAAGAAAGGACGAGAGACAGACATGGAGATTTTGAGGAGGTGGGGTATGATGGGACAGCAAGACAGAAAGAGAGACATGACAAATGACAGGGGAGTCATGGGA